CTCTGCTGCTGTTGTCTTACGTGTTGCAGAGCAACCGCTGCTCAGTGACCACACGCAGGCAAGTAGTGAGTGCATCCCATCGATGGACCCGTAGACGCGAGACACTTCACTCCCTCTGCCTCCCGGCCGTGCTGGCGTGCATCCATGACGTGTTGGTTGCTATTGCATAGTTTCTCTGTGTGCTGTGCCTGACTGTATCAGTGCAGTTGATTGACCCTGCCGCACCCCATGCACCACGCAGCGATTTTGAAGGCTCGTGACGCCATCGAGCGCTCGACACATCCATGTTTCTCGGCTCGAAGGGCAGGCGGGAGGTTGGCTGCATGGACCCATACGCTGACGCACATGAAACAAGGGCTCTCAGCCTTGCTTACCTCTGCTGAATGATATACCGTGACATACGTTCCTTCCTGCTGGCTGTCTTGGTGTCGGCCTGATGCAGGTGGCGAGAAGGGCAAGACCACTTGGGATGCGTATACAGACGTATATGGCCTGTAGCTTAAAGTGCATTTCAAACGCGACGTGTGAACGAACGGGGACACGGGATCGCCATTGACTCGCTGTAAAGTTGCCGTCGAATTTACCTCCTTATCAGCCTTCTCTCGCTTTTCCTCAAGCACACAAGGCTCCCTCCGCACTCAGATGTCTGCACCAGCTGCGGCGATGAGTCAGCTGTGCCCCAAGCAACCAAGGCCGTCGGGCGACGACGATCAATGCCCATTCGAATTCCCCCGCTTCTCCTGCTTCTCGCCTGAGTTCTGTGACTATTTTGGGACCAATGGCGACGATTTTGATCTCGATGATGGGTGGGAGTGCCGCGGTGAGATCGCCAAGGGCTCCTATGGACGAGTCTTCCACTACATCCACAAAACGACGGGCGACGAGGTCTGAGGGGGGCGGGGAGAGAAGCAGCAAGAGAAACGCATGTGTGGTGGTGGTGGTGGTGCACGTGTGTGGTGTCTGTCAATGGCTGTGTTTGTGTGCAGATTGCGGTCAAGAGGAGCCGCACGGACGACCCGAGCAACGCTGCGGTGACGGAGGCCAAGATCCTGATGGAGCTGGACCACCCGTATGTGCTCAAGATGCACGGATTCTACTATGACAGAAAAGCACAAGTGAGAAGAGGCAGGGGAAGGGAGGAATGGGGAGGGAAGCGGGAGTGAAGTAACGCTCACTGTCTGTTTGCGCGTGTTGTGTTTTGTGTGTGTGTGTGTGTGTGTGTGTGGCCGTGTATGCAGGAGTGGGTGATGTTGTCTGAGTATCTGTCTGGCGGCACATTTGAAGAAGTCATGGCGCCGCCCCCCACACCGGACTGCGACAAGCCCACCGCCCTCCCCAACGAGGGCAAAATCGCACGCAGAGCATATAAAGTCCTCAAGGTGACCTGACGCACACACAGATGGATGTCACACAGACGAAGACGCACTATTGTCGTTTCTTTTGCCACATCAGGCGCTCGAGTACTGTCATGCGATGGGCGTGATCCACAGAGACATCAAGCCGCAAAACATCCTATTCACTGACGAGAGCCGCCGGGTA